TTTTAGTTCAACACGATTTTACCTGCAATGTTTGCTTGATCTACATCTGGACGGTTTCCAGAGTAAAGGTGATCTGAAATTTGATATGCATTAACCTAAGTCCCTATATTTGACTGTTTGCGTTGATTTTCCACTGGAACCGGCAATGCGAAGTTCTAGTGCTACTTCGAACCCAAGGTGCATTTGTAAATAGCACAGTCCTTTCTGCTATCCATGGAATGTGATCACTGCTTTCACTTTTCAACCGTTTCAGGCAGTTCTCGGTTGCATTGTCTGCGTCGCTCTGACAAGCACATTCAAGAAAGTCCTCGATCTAAAGCGTCTTTGGAAGGTGTCAAAAATTGACGCGGTACGTCGAATGTTGCACTTTTCCAGTGTGTCACTTGACTGGTTGCATTTTCGCTTTTGCACAAAGTTGACGACAAATCGGTAGATGTGGACGTGGATGGGTGTTGCCAACTACACCAATCTTCTTGATTGACTTGCCTTGTGCATTGCTGCTATAGTCTCATCAATCAGACAATTGATACACAAGGTCGTGAGGTCGAAAGATGTGCACTATTCGGTGGAAATGACACAAGCTTTTCCTGTTGGGATGTTGATAACGACAAATGCAAGTGCGGATTCAAATTAGCGTAGCTTTGTGTGTTCGGTAGAACGTCATGTAATTACGCCAATGGTTACTATCACCATCATTTTATCCAGATGTGGAATGTAGGAATGGGTATTTGCACTCAGCAAATGGAATACCTTTGTTTCTCCAAGTGGATAATAGCGCAGATTGTAAAGAGAAAGTGGATCGTGTATGAGGTGAGTGCTCAGAGAGGCCGCTCTTTTTGGATAACTCACCCTGCTTCTTTATGCCAGGTAATCTAGCTGACCCACTCATTCATTTTGAAACCACGTACCCACAAGGCGGAAGTACACGGGAGGGATGTTCTTTTGTACTGAGGACATGCCTATACCAGATGTGTGGAGACGGATGAAGGTGGCAAAATGTGTGTCGTTCCACTGCAATGCGTTGCGTGACGACAAGGGAAGTGGAATTCCATGTCAGTGTGTGCTGAACAATGGGTGTCTTTTCTGAACTTGTTAATTGAGCAACTGGAAGGTCGTGCTTCAGCTTTGAAGTTTGCAGTTTGTCCTCAGAACAACCCTGTCTCTTGCCTAGTGTGGGTACCCTAAGTGACACTTGAGTATACAGAAGGCAGTAAGGAACAAATTGGACGAGCACTAATCCTGCTTATTTGAGCACGCGGTCCTCTTGCAGATTTGTCAACGTTTTGCATCGTATTTCACTCCATCACTGGTGCTGCCAAATGACCTTGGCGATATGCAGTCTTCTGAAATTGTGAGCACTTGTTTTGTGTTCACCGGTCCTGTGGAGACATTCATCTACTGGGCGATCTCTCCACACAATGGATGGTTGGGCTTTGATGAGGTGTGCAGGTTCCAGTGATGCAGACCTCGATTTTGAATGCTCACAGAAATGACTGAATGCTGTGCTGTGAACTAAAAACCACCACGGGTGGCTGTTTGTGAAACGCCTACGCCACTCGAATGTGTTACTGCTGAAAGTAATTGCCATTCCGCCTTGAAGTCATCTGGGGACATAAGTGAGAGGACGCACTCGTTGTTTTGCTGCATGAAGTATGGCCACAGTACCGTTCTCCTTCATAGATGCAAAATCAACAGTCCTGGCTTAAAGTGGAAGAAGCCAGTCAACTTATTGTTTCATTGTTGCCTCACTTGACAGTTTGGCATTTCTCGTTGAGTGTAGTTAGACAATGGCAATTCATCATTGACCTTCGTCATCTCTGTCTCGATTGCAGTCGATCTGGCTAGTGTCATTCCTTACGACATTTGCAGTGGACATCACCTACGGTATCGGCGTTGGATTCGTCTACTCCATCCTGACGGTGGTGTCGAGAAGTCAGTACGGCGGACGCTTTCTCCTCGGTGAGGCGAGGAATAGCGACCTGTACTCGGAATTGAAACGCTTTGAAGAGGTAGTGTGACATATTGTGCGTGTGAAAGCATGCAAATGTAGGTGTCGTGGCTTGATGGGTAAAGGGCGTTGCGTAGAAGGTGGTGAGACGGTTGATTGTATCACCTACTAGGGGGGCAATTCTGACTGATGTACCCTTACTTATCAGAGGATCATCAAAATGTAGGTGATGGTGTTAACGGAAGTAGAGGTGAGGGCTGCCAACAGCTCCGACTTGCTTTCATGCCTCATTCTCACTGCTCCGAATAGTTGCGATTCAACAAAGAACATCTTAACAGTAATTGAATGCACTGACAAGAGTAGTACCATAGGGGCCGTTGAAATCATGGATTCGCGATGGCTGTTCTGTGGTGAGTTGAAAGTCAGAATTGTGTGTCCGACAGTGCTCTTGTTTTGACTTGAACTTGTGTCTCGAAGCTAGTGTGAAGTAAATGAACTGCTGACATCCAGCCTCCTGTCATGGTTAGTGCAACGTTTTTGTGATTAGGGTAGCCTTTAAGCCGCAAGACTTTGGTGTGAGCATTGAAGAAGGGTAGCTTGTGTCCCTTCAAAGAGGAATTGGTTTTAGGCCTTCTGGTTCCACACTGCGCAGTCTCGTCTGGATGCCTGGTGCTTTTAGCTGCTGTGATTCTACAACAGACATCACAGGTGCAGTCGAATCGGAACAAACGACACACAGGGTGTTAAGCTCAGCCTGTTGCAACAAACTGTCGAGATTTGGGTAAGGGGTCTCGGTATCACACCTACTATTGGGCGAGCTGGATGTCTGAGAGTGGTCGCTATGAGTGAATTGGTTGACGAATGTGTTTTTCCTTCGGCCGTCAATTTCGGCCAAATTAGTTGTAATGTGAGGTGGAGAGGTGGCTGATTGCAGACTTGTGGCAAAAAGTAGAGAGGAG